TCATCGTCTCTATCAGAGACGACCCCCCAAACCCTAGTCGGCCTCGTTCCCTTCGCCTGAAAACCCGGCGACGCTGGCTCCGATGACTACCAAATTAACACCGCTGAACCTCCATGCCTTCCTCTTTACGGATCCATTAACTGTTTGCCTCGAATCAACCTTCAGCTTCTCGAATCTTCGATTGAAGATTCGAGCAGAACCTAAACCTACCCCAACTAGTCCCAAACTCACACCACGGCACCCCCTGACCTCCCTCATGCCCAAAATACCTATGGCCTGGTTCGAATCTGGCTAGAACCATTCAAACCCCAAATCGAACCCCCAAGAACCCTAGAAAACCAAAAGTTGAAGTCTGTCCAAATTAAAGGATGATTTGGGGGTCTAATCGCCCTTAGTCGAAGTGTTCTCAGTTGAGAACACTCGATTAGGGTCCGTTCGACCTCAAAGAGTCCGAGTCAAAATCCAAGTCATGGTCGTCCAGTTTCCGAGTTCTTGAGGTATTTTTCCTTTCCTGTTTGTTCCATTTTGTATTTGTTTATATCTGTTTATTTGTTTAATTTGGTTTTACTGATTTTTCAATTTTTCTTTTGTCGATTGATTCTGTCCTTCTTCAAAGACCTTTTATTTGGTCGAACTTTTTCTGGTCATGGTCGAGTATGTAATAAACTATATAATCAATTCGAATGAGCTCAGTCGACTAGTTAAGTTTTATTATAAATCCCTGCTTCTATCAATACGACTTGAATCACCTGTGTGCCTGTTCGATTCTGATTATTTGCTATTGATTGTATGTGTTGTAATTCGTGTAGTCGATTGGATAAGTATCGTCGATTAGTTTTACATGCTTAAATGTTAGAATAACCTGATAATAATTTGATTCATACGGCTTCAATTCTGATTGAATCATTGTTGGAATTTGATAGGCTGGATTGGTTATAGCTGAGGTGTTTAGAGTTTAAATTCAGTTCATTTAGATAATTGAATCAGTGTAGCAAATGGCTTAGTTGAATATTCTGACAGTAGGGTACTAAAGTACCATTAAACTAATAAAATAGTTTAAAA